AATTTAACTCCATCAATAAAGTAACTCAAATTGTTTTAAGTAAATGAAGGATGTTTGATGTACAAGTAATGGCCATTAACATTTTAAATATTTTAATAGGGGCAATAAAAAGATGGCACTGTTGAAATGAAGAAAGAGCCAAAATAGAAATACTGGAAAGAGCTATAACAGTTACTGGACTTGAGAAACCTACTTTCCCAAAAAATTGTTTTAAGAGAAAATCAACTGCCAGTTACACTGGCTGCCTGGTCAATGGATGCAGAATGTTTCCTTATAAGGAAATGGTTAATAATATTTCCATTACCATATACTTTGTTTGAGAATATCATAGATGTATGACTGTAAACTTCATCCAGTTGCAAGGCCTCTGATCGGGAGGTTTTGAGAAGTGTGGAACCAACTCTTAGGCAAATGGTATCCCCCCACTAAACCGGGGTAAAAAAAAAATAAAAACAATGTATAGATTAAAAGAAAAAAAAAAATGAATTACTAGCAATAGATTTTTGTAAAAAGAAAATTCCCAAGAATATTAGATTTTGGCATTAAATGATCTATAATGAGTTGATATGCCTGTAAACTTGTGTGCCATGTCCATTCAGGATGTAGGCAATCATGGCTCTCCACTTCTGCCTATCCCTTATAACTCTCAATAAGTTTTGTGCCTCTGCTAAGTCCTGCAGACCCTGTTCTGCCACCACGTATGTCATGCATTGCTTTTCCTTATCTCTTTTTCCCTCTATTTGACCTGTGAGTATCAGATTCTCCAGGCCCTCCTTTTCCATTATATGTCCCAAAAATTTCATCTGCCTCTCCCTTATGTTAAGTATAAGCTTCCTTCTTGTTTGCATCCTCTCAAAGATATCATTGCTCACATGCTTGCTCCATGATATCTGTAGAACCCCATCTCTGCTGCCTCGAGTCTCTTCATCTTTGAAGACTGTCCAACATTCGCTGCCGTATAGGAGGACAGATGTCATGTAGCAGCTCCATATTCTTTTCTTTGCCACCAAAGAAACTTTAGGGAAACTGGGAATGAAAAGGCACCTTTTTATAATTATAATCAAAAAGCTCTTATGAGGGAAGAAAGCTCAAAGAACTTAAAATTCACAGAAGATACAACCAAAAACTAGTCTACTCTTTATTTTTTTGAATCCAAGAAATGTGTATTGAAGTACTAAGCTAGGAGACAATGAAATTTTGTCTTAAGGATAATTTTCTTTTGTTTATCAGACGCATATAAATTAATAGATGAAGTGTTGTTTAATTCTATATCTTTGAGATTAAAATATCTAAATTATTACCTTAAATTGCAAAGACAGGCTATAGAATTTCTACATATGCTGTTAGTTATTATAAATCTCATTGATAAAACAATTTAAAAATATGGCTTATTTTTTTCAGTATCATTAAGAGTCAAATTGTTTGGTGCTTAAAATAATAAGCAGAGAAATATTTTTCCAAAATTTCACATTTTATTTCTATATCAAATACAGACAACTTATTTTCTTTTTGAAAGAAATGTTAATTATAACATTTCTTTCAAAAAGAAAATTATTTCTTTTTGAAAGAAATGTTATAATTTTCTTTTTGAAAGAAATGTTATAATTTTCTTTTTGAAAGAAATGTTATAATTTTCTTTTTGAAAGAAATGTTATAATTTTCTTTTTGAAAGAAATGTTATAATTTTCTTTTTGAAAGAAATGTTATAATTTTCTTTTGAAAGAAATGTTATAATTTTCTTTTTGAAAGAAATGTTATAATTTTCTTTTTTGAAAGAAATGTTATAATTTTCTTTTTGAAAGAAATGTTATAATTTTCTTTTGAAAGAAATGTTATAATTTTTCTTTTTGAAAGAAATGTTATAATTTTTCTTTTGAAAGAAATGTTATAATTTTCTTTTTGAAAGAAATGTTATAATTTTCTTTTTTGAAAGAAATGTTATAATTTTCTTTTGAAAGAAATGTTATAATTTTCTTTTGAAAGAAATGTTATAATTTTTCTTTTTGAAAGAAATGTTATAATTTTCTTTTTGAAAGAAATGTTATAATTTTCTTTTTGAAAGAAATGTTATAATTTTCTTTTGAAAGAAATGTTATAATTTTCTTTTTGAAAGAAATGTTATAATTTTCTTTTTGAAAGAAATGTTATAATTTTCTTTTTGAAAGAAATGTTATAATTTTCTTTTTGAAAGAAATGTTATAATTTTCTTTTTGAAAGAAATGTTATAATTTTCTTTTTGAAAGAAATGTTATAATTTTCTTTTTGAAAGAAATGTTATAATTTTCTTTTTTGAAAGAAATGTTATAATTTTCTTTTTGAAAGAAATGTTATAATTTTCTTTTTGAAAGAAATGTTATAATTTTCTTTTTGAAAGAAATGTTATAATTTTCTTTTTGAAAGAAATGTTATAATTTTCTTTTTGAAAGAAATGTTATAATTTTCTTGTTGGTTTATTTTGGGCTTTGAACACATTGGTGAAATGGTTGCTCAGGAATATTCTTTTCTTACCTGATCAAGGGATTGAACTCCTGACAACTAAATGACAGTAATGTATTTTAACAAATTCCTATATCTATATACCATTGAGCTGGTGTGGTTTCAACATTTGGTTATGATGCTTTCATGCAGCATTTCATAATTTAGTATTTCATTTATGAGATATTAATTTAAAATATTTGAATTTTTTTATTTTTTCTTAAATTGCAAAGATGTGCCATAGAATTTCCACGTATGCTGTTATAAATCTCATCAATAGATAAGACCTGATTAAAAAAATTTTTTTTCCATTATCATTAAGAAACAAATTGGTAGGTGCTTAAAATAATAAGCAGATAACATAGGTAAGAAAAATATTTTTGTCAAAATTTCAGTTTCTGAAAAAAAAAAACCTTTATTTCAATGTCAAATACAGAAAAGTTAAGAATTTAGAAGGTTTAGAAAGAAATTTCTATAATTTTATTTTTAAGGATATTTTTTTAAAATATATTTTAATTTTCATCATTGCTGGTTTTATTTTAGGCCTTGGATATTTTGTGACAATGGGGGCGTTGAACTTAGTGAAAAGCAATGACGCTCAGGATTTTCTATTGGAACAACAATTATAAATAATTAATAATTTTCCAGATTTTTTTTTTTTATTTATTTCAGTTAAAAGTTTTGAAAGAAAGATTTGAAGTTCTTTCAGACTTGTTCAACCAACTGAACCTTGTACAATTGGATGGGAATAAGAAAATTAATTCTCTTAAGGAAACAATTGAAAATTTATTTCCTTGTACAGGTGAGGGTTTTTTGTTTATTTTATTTCATCTTTATTTCATTTCATCTTATTTTATTTCATCTTATTTTATTTCATTTCATCTTTATTTCATTTCATCTTATTTTATTTCATCTTATTTTATTTCATTTCATCTTTATTTCATTTCATCTTATTTCATTTCATCTTTATTTCATTTTCATTTCATTTCATTATTTCATTTCATCTTTATTTCATTTCATCTTTTATTTCATTTCATCTTTATTTCATTTCATCTTATTTCATTTCATCTTTATTTCATTTCATCTTTATTTCATTTCATCTTTATTTCATTTCATCTTTATTTCATTTCATCTTTATTTCATTTCATCTTTATTTCATTTCATCTTTATTTCATTTCATCTTTATTTCATTTCATCTTTATTTCATTTCATCTTTATTTCATTTCATCTTTATTTCATTTCATCTTTATTTCATTTCATCTTTTATTTCATTTCATCTTTATTTCATTTCATCTTT